AATACTGTTTAATTATGACAACAATAAAACCGGATAGGTACAAACTCAAGAACTAGTGTTGCTAGGATGACTGTTCAAAAAGGGAATGTTCTCGCCTTCCGCTATACCTGGCCTCTGAGGGTTCGACACCCTACTTAAACTATCTATTGCCAGAGGCGTAGCATTGAAGGAATCGTACATCCCGCCCGCCTTGAAAGTCCTGACTTTCGAACATAAGGAATTTACTATTCTTCAGGCAGAACACTTAAGTTTAGAACACTGCGTTTTAGCAATCCCTTTGTAGTTTTGCCAGTCACAACGCGAATTACACTGCCTGGATGGGTGGATACAATTCTTCCCAATCTCCACTGTAGAGGCGGCAAACCGTGTTCCTTCAGAATTACTAAATCTCCCACTTTGATTTCGCTGCAGTCATTGCGCTTCCATTTGCTTCGTTGCTGTAGACTTGTAAGGTATTCTGCACTCCATCGTTTCCAAAAATGCTGCACTATTTGTTGTAAGCGGTGGTATAGGTTTAACCGATTCGATGGCAAGCTGCTAACATCGGATTGTGGCACAGCTAATAGAGAGTCACCCACTAGGAAATGTGCAGGAGTAAGGGGAGTCAGATCAGAAGGATCACTGGAAAGGGCTGTAAGAGGACGGGAGTTAAAAACTGCTTCTATTTGACATAATACGGAGTATAGGCCTTCGAACGTCAAATGAGCGTTTCCGACTACACGAATTAAGTGTTTTTTAGCTGACTTGACGGCAGCCTCCCATAGTCCTCCTTGATTTGGAGAAAATGGTGGGTTGAAATGCCAAGTAATTGAATTTTTCAATAGAAAGTCGCTATTGATGTTGTTCACCAAGGATTTTAGCTCGTTATTTGCTCCTATAAAATTAGTTCCGTTATCACTATAAATTGTAGAACATAATCCTCTTCTAGAAACAAAGCGTTTCAGACAGTTCAAAAATGTATGAGTAGATAAATCACTAGCTAACTCGATATGCACGGCCTTAGTAGTGAAACAAACAAATATACAGATGTAAGTCTTAACTATTTTCCGTGATCTCAAGCGACCATCCTTTATCAAGATTGGTCCAGCGTAATCTACGCCACTGATTAGGAAAGGTCGCATAGGCACAAGTCTCGCTTTTGGCAAATTTCCCATCATTGGTACGATATTACCTGGGGTTGTTTTGAAACATGTAATGCATTTTCGGATTATTCCTCGCACAATATTTTTTTTTCTTTTTTTTTTCAATGGCTTTGTGAACATGGTCCCATCAGCCAGACTCAATATTTTATCATCATAGGTTTCATCATGTTTATTTATGGTTTGTGGAAGGGAAATACATGGGACACTCGCTTCTCGCCTAGGGACCCGTCAAGGCATTTTCGATAAAACAAACAAACAAACAGGGCCACTAAAACATGGGTGAAACAATTAAGGTTAAAAACAGAGGTAGAGGTTATATGGTATGTATGTATAGTTAATGGATGTACTATTATTATTACTTTTTGTTTTTCAAGCTTTATATTTTCAATCCAGATTCTTTGATGAATTCAATTATCAGTTCCAGAATTTGTCTAAATGTCCCTCAACATTGCATTCTGTGCAGAGATTAGAAGGTAGTATGTTTATTTTGAATAGATGTGAAGGGAAACATCCATGTCCGAATTTCAATCGACTGATAATTGTAATATATTTTCTGGGTATGTTAAACTCCTCATACCAACAGGATTTTGGGAGTTCCGGGTGAATGAGAGTGTATCTGGTTGGGTTTGTGAAGCAGTACTCGTTCCATTCTGCTGACCATTTCTTCGTCATTTCGTGCTTGTATAGATTGAACGTATCATCAATTACTGGTACCGTTGGTACTTTGTTTCCTGATTTGATGCTGTTTTTGGCTAGTAGGTAGTTAGTAGGTCAACTTCTTCATTATGAGCTATTCCGATATGAGCTTTCACCCATATAAAGGATATTTTCACGCCATTTGTGCGGTTTTCAAATAGCATGTGTTTGATTTTGATTATGTAAGGATTCAGAAGGGTGTTTGGGTTATAACTGGATTTAATACAGTTCAATACTGATAAGGAGTCGGATAAAATAGTGGCTGTTGAAATGTTATTGTCCCTTATATGTAAAAGTGCTTGGTATATAGCAAAGGCTTCAGCAGAGAATATTGACATAGTTGTAGGTAGTTCGAACATTTGCCTTATTCCGTCGGGAATAAGGAAAGCACAGCCTGTACCAGTAGTTGATTTGGATGCATCAGTAAAAATTCTAGTTGTTCCAGGGAAGTTTGAAAAATATTGAGTGAGTAGTTTTTGGTTGATCAGAGGTGACATGCTGTAGTTTGGAATAATTACAGATGGATGGCTAGATAAGTCAATGAAGTTATGTTCTGGTATGCTTGGGTATCCTACGGTAATGTTTTTATTAAATATTGTATTTTCTCTGAGAGACTTACATAAGAGTGGAGTATTTTTGTGTCTCCAATACGATTTGGTTAGGTCATATTCATTCAAGATATTTATATTGGTCAGTAGCTTTGAGTGTTTCATAAATAATTTCGTAGTGAATTTATTGGCGAGAAATTCCCTTCGTAGATGAAGCGGCGGTTCCAAGGCTTCAGATTTGAGTGCTTCCACGGAAGTGGATTTCATAGCTCCGAGGTATATTCGTAGGAATGTGTTCTGAACTACGTTCAATCGGTGTAATAGATTTTTGTTGGCTGAGCCGTAGAAGATGCACCCGTAGTCTATTATTGATCTGATATACGATCTGTAAAAGATTAGCGAGGATTCCTGATCCGCCCCCTACCAGACTCTCAGACATGATTTGAAGAAATTTAGTCCTGCATAACATTTACTGATAATATTCTCGATGAGGGGTTTCCATGATGATTTTTTATCCAAGTATTTAACCTCTTTTTCCACAGGCAAATCTAGGCTGCCAACTGCTAAGTTCTGAAGGTTCACGTTGTGCCTGGAAAATATTATTAAATTGGATTTTGTTTCGCAGATAGAGAATCCGTTGTTGAAACACCACTTTTCAAAAGTTAAAACTGCTTGGTTAAGTTTGTCGTTACTAACTGTCAATTCTTTATCTTCTGTGTATATGCAAAAGTCATCGGCATACTGGATTATATTCGTAGAGTGAGAATGATTATGTATATCTGCAGTATATATATTAAATAGGAAAGGGCTAAGTAATGATCCTTGAGGTAGACCAGAAGATACATATCGAGGTCCTCTAATGTATGTAGATCTCTTCATGAAAATATTCACAATAATATGACTCCTATATGATGAAAGCCCGAGATTAACTAGTTTGTTCTTCAAAATGTGTAGATCAACGCAATCGTATGCTCCTTTGATATCCAGAAAGGCTGCACTGATGTAGTCATTTTTAGAGAAGCACTTTTAAATATCAGTGACGATTGTGGCGACGGCATCTATAGTGCCATGTTGTCTCTTGAAGCCAAATTGATTCATAGGTAGGGGGTGGAAACGGATCCACCATTCTAATTTGTTTTTAATCATTCGTTCAAGGGTTTTGAACATGCAAGATAGTAACGAAATAGGGCGATACGAGTCCGCACTATTGGGGTCTTTTCCAGGTTTTAGTATCGGCACCAGCACGATATCGTTGAAGAAGTCAGACTTGTGACCTCTGCACCATATATCATTAAAAATTTCTAATAGGAGATGTTTTGTATTAGTGGACTTTTTGAGAGCCCATTCAAGTTCTGTAAGAGTAAATGGGTGGAAGCTATCGTCTTGATTCATGGTGGGACATGGCTGTTCTTCCAATTGGACACTAGGGGGTGAGTATTTAAAAAAGAAGGTGTGTAACCAGCTGTGATTATTGCAATATTGATTCGTTGAAGGGATTTTTTTAATCATTTTCGCTTGTTTCCAGAAATCTTTAGCGAGTGTGTTTTTGTTCAGGTTGGTACATCAAGATTTCCAAGATAGTTTAGCTTTTTTTTTAAATAGTTGCTTGGTCCGGGCAAATATTTCTTTGCATTTGATGTAGTTAGCCATTGAGCTATTATTTTTATATTAATTTAAAATGCTCTTACGGAGTGTCAATGATTGTTCGCACTCTGTGTCCCACCATGGTGGAGGGGCACGTTGTTTGATATTGAAGGGTTTCAATACTGGTATATCTGAGTTTGTAGCTTCATTGATTATATTTGATAGGACTGTATATTTTTCCCCTGCAGTGGATATATTCTGGATTTCTCCAAGGTTTTCATCAACTAATTGTGTATATTTTGTCCAGTTGGCTTTGTATAGGTTTCATTTGTATTTAGGGTGAATTAAATTTTTCATATAATGTTAATAATAGGGGGTAATGATCTGCGCCCAGAGTATCTGAGGTAACTTCCCAAGTTATTTTAGAGGTGATACGCTGTGAGACTAATGTAAGGTCTGGAGCCGAGAACTTGACACTTGGTGTGAAAAATCGTGTAGGGGATCCATCATTCAAAATGTTCAAATCCCATGCTTCGGTAGCTTCAAAAATTTGAGCAGCAGTATGATCTGTACTATCGTATCCCCATAGGGAGCCATGGGCATTAAAGTCACCTCCAATGATGACATCATTTGGCATCGCTTTGGCAAAAATATTTATCCAGTCGTCTTTACGTGTAGTGATTGTAGGGGCTCTATAAAGTGAGACAAAGGAGATATGACTAGAATTATATGAGATATGTATACCACAAACCAGTATTTCATCGTTAAAATTATCGTCAGAGAATATTGTAGTGAACGGAATTGAATTCTTGATGAGGATAGCTGTTACGGATCTCCCATCATATCTATCTTTCCTCATAATTTTGTATCCGGTTATTTGGACGTTTGTACCTGGTTTGAACCAGGTCTCGCTAATCAGGGCAATGTCAACATCGTTGTTAAAAAAATTTTGAGACTGTTTTTATTGGCAATAGCGGATCGAGCATTCCACTGCATTATTTTCAGGCAAGATTTAGTTGTGTTCTGTGTATTAGCCATTGATATGAGCATTTTCTAAAATCGAAAGTATTTCTGTTCTGAGCTCATCGTTGTTAATACTCTTCAGATCTTTAACATTTGTAATTTTTTTGACGATATTTTCAAATAAAAGGAATACTGTGTCGATAATGATTTCACTATTTCTATCTATGTTATGGTATTGAGGGGGAAGGGGGTTGGGAGGTAGAGGCGTCTGTGGACCAGATGAAAAACTGAACATGGGTGGATGTTGAGTACCTGCGGCTGGGGGTGAGATTGCTTTTCGTTTTTTATTATGAGTGATGTTGATTGGTTCGTAATTAGAGTGAGAGGGTTGTGAAAAGGATATATGAGTGCTCCTTTTACTCTGTTTACTGTGATTCAGATTATTTGGTCGTGAGGTGGAGGGGTTCGTATTATCTTGTTTGGGTAGGCTTGGAAAGTTTTCGTCGCTGAGGTTACTAAGGATCTGGTAAGTATTTGCTGTATTCACAGCTGAAGAATATGATGAAATGGCGTAGTTTTCTGCCTCTACGAATGACATGTTGAATGTGGCCATTATGTTTTTGATGCTTTTTTGTTTTTGAAAGGTTGGACAATCTCTAGAAGTGGACTTATGATTGTTATTCTTGCAATTGCAACAAAAGATTTGATCTTCTAAGCAGTTGTGCAAATCCCCTTTAGTTTGTCCGCAGTTCATACATAGGACATTTGTACTACGACATTGACTGGAAACGTGTCCGTATTTTAGGCATTTAGAACAATAAATAAATGCAAAAAGCTCAAAGTCATTTCCACAAAGTGTTCATAAACTGAACAACAATGGTAGATTTCTTGAGAAAAACAACTACTTCCCTGGCTAATGCCACGCAGGATATTGAATTACATCCTCCCGAAATCTATGCATCGACTCGTATAAACGAATACTGATACAAGTGATTCTTTCCTGAATGCCTATTGATTTCGATTAAGCCAGGCCGCTAGACAACCACAGACCGGTTTCGAGCTCTTTGACTCTCATCAGTGCAGTGTAGTCTCCAGCCAGCAGTCCTAAGACCACCGACTCAGCGAAGCCTAGCCAAACAAAAATCATGTTGGCATTTTATCCACCCCGAGGCGTCCTTCATCGACAAAATGAAAGTAACGCCATCTGAGTAGAACAGAGGAAAGAATCACTCCAAAACTGAAATTCCCATACGGGAGTGGCTGGTTGCCCGACTGGCGTGATTTCAACTACGAAATAGCCACAATGTTCAAAGTGGAATGATATGTTGAATAAATGCAAAAAGCTCAAAGTCATTTCCACAAAGTGTTCATAAACTGAACAACAATGGTAGATTTCGGGAGAAAAACAACTACTTCCCTGGCTAATGCCACGCAGGATATTGAATTACATCCTCCCGAAAATGACTTTGAGCTTCTTGCATTTATTTAACATATCATTCCACTTTGAGCATTGTGGCTATTTTGTAGTTGAAATCACGCCAGTCGGGCAACCAGCCACTCCCGTATGGGAATTTCTGTTTTGGAGTGATTCTTTCCTCTGTTCTACTCAGATGGCGTTACTTTCATTTTGTCGATGAATGACGCCTCGGGGTGGATAAAATGCCAACTTGATTTTTGTTTGGCTAGGCTTCGCTGAGTCGGTGGTCTTAGGACTGCTGGCTGGAGACTACACTGCACTGATGAGAGTCAAAGAGCTCGAAACCGGTCTGTGGTTGTCTAGCGGCCTGGCTTAATCGAAATCAATAGGCATTCAGGAAAGAATCACTTGTATCAGTATTCGTTTATACGAGTCGATGCATAGATTTCGGGAGGATGTAATTCAATATCCTGCGTGGCATTAGCCAGGGAAGTCGTTGTTTTTCTCCCGAAATCTACCATTGTTGTTCAGTTTATGAACACTTTGTGGAAATGACTTTGAGCTTTTTGCATTTATTTAACATATCATTCCACTTTGAGCATTTTGGCTATTTCGTCGTTGGGATTCAGAACATTGAATCACTCGTTGTACAAATGGTTCTACTTCGAAAATGACACTATTTATACGGCTTTCTTTTGGCAGTATATTACCTTCAAACGTAAGTATTACTAATTGTCTAGGTACCAACGAAACGTTGTCTTCATTTGTAACTTTACGCTTCATTGTATGTACTTTAATTATAGAATAATCCGAGTTATATTGTCTCTCAAGTATTCCTCATCGAAATAAGTATCGACCTGTCTGATAATTCCTTTTCTCACCAGTAGATTGTTAGGGATAAATGCTTTCAATTTTTCGCGTTCAAGGTATGCATTGTTTATAAGGTCATTTGCATCTTTTGTTGTTTTTAGACCAACTTCAACTCTGTTGAATCCAACTTTTTGAATAGATGTTATTACGTCTTTAAGATTTAATTTTTTATGTAAAATATGTCCCACATAGAGGGGATGCAATCGACCTAATTTTTCTGTGTTAGTTTTTTCAATGAATACGTGAATATTTTGATTATTATAGAACTTATCTTGTGTAAGATTGAAGAGTTTTGGCATGTTGCTTTTCTCATGGGTTGAAGTTTTGGGAATAGATGCTGACTTGGGTATTTGTTGACTCGTTTCCATCATTTGATCTTGATTTACATCAGTATTGGGGTTATCGTCGTAGGTTGAATCCAAAATATGCACATTCGCGGTACTTTTTGTCTTTGAATGATCGCCCACACCAGTCAGTGGTGGGGCCATCATATAATCACTTTGTATTTAACTTTATCATATACCAGTCCTTGTCGAATCCGATAATAAATATTAAAGGATGCAAAAACAGAGCGACTGTAAAAACACTGACGGGTTTTGCTGATTGCTTTATTAGGCACGTGCAATCGACTGCGCGTTCGAACGAAAACGTCGCACAATATTTCTTCCGTTAATAATCCAAAATTGACTTCTTAATGACGCAAGGACAGCTTGTGGTCCAGCGTGAAGAGTTTTTTGATGTTCATATTCTATCAATTTGACTGTCAATGAATGTTTTGAATGCAGTAATATGGGATATTTCGAGGCGTAATTCAGTGAGGAATGTTTCAAGCGACCACCAACGCGTAGTAATTCGTTGTTGTCTAGAAATGGATTCAACGACAACACTTTGCTTGAGGAAGCAAGTTGTTATCCGCATTTCAAGGCTTGAATTTCTTCACTGAAACAGATTGATTGAGACATTTTGAGAAGTATAACTAGAGAGGCATCTAACTCAGTTTTACAAAGATCGCCATTGAATCTGTTAGATTTGTATTTTGGTTGAATGTTATGTATGTATCTTAGCATGAAAGTGAATATTCGGTGTAATTTGGTGAATGTAGAAAATTTTTCGAATATCATTTGGTCAGAATATTTCTTTAATTCTTGGCAAACGAGTGTGATATGTGGTTGTTTCCGCTCATCGGAAATGTTTTATGATGGTGTATGCTTAGTTTCTGGCCACAGGGTGTCATTCATCAGTAGAAATTCCGGGCCTGTCCACCAAATTGAATTTTCAGATAACTGAGTAGGGTCACAGTCTCTGGAGATGACGTCAGCTGGATTTTGTTTTGATGGTATGTGGTATGTAGCGCCATTTATGATCAAGAGTCAATTCTTGGATTTCTGTCACCCGATTGGCGACAAATGTTTATCAAGAACATGGTTGAGCAGATAACCAATCAATCACGATGGTCGAATCACACCAATAAAATGTGTCTGCGTTGTCGATTTCAAGAGCGTCCTTACACTTTCTCATCAAGCGCGCGAGGAACAGTGCCCCACACAATTCGAGGCGGGGTGGTGATATTTTTTTAGTGGAGCTATCTTTGAATCAGCGCATAGAAGTTTGAAAAAGTGAGTCTCATTTGGATTGGTTGTGCGTATGTACACACATGCGCCGTGAGCTTGCTCACTTGCGTCGCTAAATCCGTGAAATTGAATTTTGACATAGTTTGCAATTGTTACTTGACGCGGTATTTTGATTATAGAAAAATTTTCTAGTTCACTGAAAAATTCAATCCAATTGGCTGAAAAATCATCAGGAATAACATCATCCCAATCAACCTGAAGCTGCCATAGCTTCTGTAATAAAATTTTTGATTTTTCAATTACTGGTCCAATAAGACCAATTGGATCGAAAACCTTTGCAATGGTACTCAATATATTTCGTTTAGTGAATTCTTTTGTTGAAGTAAGATTGACATCATAGGTGAAACTATCTTGTTCTGGATTCCAAACGAGGCTCAACGTCCTGATATTTTCGTTTCCAGGAATGACATAGTTAGCACTTTGATTTTGTGAAAGTTCGTTTTCTAAAAGTTCAACTCGATTTGATGTCCATTTTTGTAGGGGCAGCTTTGATTCTGCAAGTATTTCCGTTATCTGCATTTTCAAAGTGATGGCTTCCGATACGGAATCGGCACCAGTGAGTAAATCGTCGACATAAAAACAATTTTTGATCGCCTTGCTCGCTAACGGATATTTCGACTCGTTTTCGATTGCGGTTTGATTTAGAGCTCGACATGCCAAAAATGAGGCGGACGCGGTTCCATGAGTGATCGTATTCAATCTATAATGTTTCAGCGTTTCTGAAGAATCCGCGCGCCATAATATTCTCTGAAAATCGCGATGTTCATCGATGACGTTGACTTGTCGGTACATCTTTTCAATATCCGCAGTGAAGACAACGTTATGTTTCCGGAAGTTTAATGCGATAGAGCACAGTTCAGGTTGTATTGTCGGACCTACTTTCAAGACGTCGTTTAATGAAAGTCCAGTCGACGTTTTACATGAGGCATCAAATACTATCTCAGCTTAGTTGTAGAACTTCTTTCCTTCACTATGCCGTGGTGAGGAAGATAATATTTCATATTTTCAAGAGTTTCATTTTCAATGTCTGTTAATGTTAATGCCTTCACTGTTGGATTTTCCTCATTCTTCACGAATTCCTCCCATTCTCTTTCAGAATAAGGATCTATTTTTGATGTCAATACATAAATGAGTAAAGTGTCCCATGTGTCGGTTGATTGGCCCAGCCATGCTAAGGCGCGTACATTTTTTATTAAAATCATCGAGTAATTTTCTCAAAAATCCGAAAGACTCATTTTTCATTATAGGTAATTCGAATAACGTTTTGACGTGAGTGTGGATTATCAATTTTTCATTCTCCGAATCTTTCTCTCAACAAAGCCCATGCAATATCGTAATTGGCATTTGATATCTCGAGTGACTGAGTAACTTGTGCGGCCTCTCCTTTCAGACATGATTGGAGATAATAGAATTTTTGAACGTTAGAAAGACTCACATCGGCATGGATGAGACTATTAAAAGTATCATAGAATGTTAACCACTGATTATAATGGCCATCAAAATCGGGTAGACTAATGTTTGGTAATTTAACTTTGGCTTGGATTCCGTGGCTTGAATGTGATTGTACTGAATGTGCATCTCGGTTACTATGGATACTTGCATTGCCAGAGACTTGTGATTTGGTTTGAATTTCTATTAATTTTCTAGCCTGGCTCGATGCTTTAAAATATGCATTTTCAAAGCTTTCCCTAGCAGCATCGTCTAACACTTGATCTGGAAGAGATTCGATGCTATCCTGGATTTCTTCATACTCTTCCATGATACCTGATATATTCTCTAGACGAGATTCTATTTCGTGAATTGATGACGTGTTTTCATCGAAGGCTGTTAAGAAGT